GCTATTGTTGATTTTGTTCTTCCGCGGAGAAAATCAATGGAGGATAAGAACTAAACGAATCGCAGATCGAAATCTGAAAATCCAGAAAATTCGAATCGGATTTTTTCGTCTTCTCTTTCTCTTGGGTATATATATATTATAATGATGAGGTCCCTCTCTTTCTTCTTATTCTTCTTCGATTGCAGTCTCTGTGATTTTGTCTCATAACTTCGCAGTTGATTTTGGTGTTTTTATGGAGTTTTTTCACCTTCTTATGGGATCTGGGTTTTTGATTTTGATCAGATTCATAGAAAAAATTCACTTTGGAAAACCTCTATAAACATATAAGCATTTTATTCAATTTCTCTGATTCAAGCTTTTTTTTTTTTTTGTTGATTCTTCATGATCTGATTGTATGTGTTTTTTGTTTTCACAGGTATCAGAGAGTAAGCCCAGATTATCTTCCTCTTACAAATACCAAAAAGCCCTACTTAAGACCTTCACCTTCCAGATCCAACGAAAACGGAAGAACCACCACCACCGCGATTTCAACCGAAGGAGGAGGTGGAAGATTCAACGGTATAAGCACTAGCTCGAATCTCGACGGAGTTCCTAAAGGATTCCGATTCAGATCCACTTCTACTAGCACCACCACAGCACAACAACAACAAGATCTCTCTCACGATTCCGCCGCAAACCCTAGAGGAGGAGGAGATGGATTGTTACAGTGGGGACAACGGAAACGATCACGTGCCTCTAGAACCGAGATCCGATCCGTCACCGTCGCAGCGGCATCAGCAGCTGATGATTCTTCGTCTTCCTCCGGACAAAGTTTGATTCCGTCGAACAAAATCCAGAGACGATCGACAAATCCGTCTATGCCGCCGCCGTCAATGTCACCGTCGCCTCTATGCGGCGGAGGAGGTGGACGGAGTACGAATATGAGAAACGGTTTCGTCACCGGCAAGGAATCATCTAGATTCATCCCTACCAGGTTTAGCTCAAAATCTTTTTATTTTGCTTCCATTTTAAGAATTGATTTGGATTTTTTTTTTCTTTTTACAGAGCTTAAAATCTAAAATCTCTGTTTTTAAAATTTATTTCTCTAAATTGTAACT